GTGGTTTTAAGGAATGCTGCTGAGGGTGAGGAGGGGCAGGGACAGCACCTGAGACTTGCTGGATTAACATGGAGAACTGGTATAGCTGGTGGCAGTTTGGAGGTCTTCCCACATCAGACACTGTTACCCTCTTCCTGCAGAACACACATCACACGTGAAAACATCCTTCTAAACTTCTTGTTCCCCGTTTGTCTTGAAGACTCTGGCATTTTCCTGTTTGCTTGGTTTTTACTTCTTTTTCCTTCAGAAATGATTCGCAAATGCTATATTATTTCACCCTACGCAGATTGCTTTCCATAAATCCATGTGTGTGCGTGTGGCGGGGGGGGGGGGGGCCCTTGAAGCTGTATCAAAAACATGACACATCTGTTTCTAATAATCAAAGAAGTATAATAAAACCTTTACTTTGGAGGAATAGCCAAAGTTTCATCCTAAAGGCAAATTATATCCATCTGGTCCCAAGAGAGCTGGCTTTTGCATTAAGGAATATTTGTTGTTTGGGTGATTGGAGAGCAGGAGTGGGAAGAGGGGAAGTTGTTAGCTCCAACACTCAGCGTTAAGTGGAGTTCATTTCTAAAATTGAAGCTTCCAGAAACTGGTGAGTAATCCTCCTTCGTGGCGTGATATTATGTCACCAGATCTGCTGAGCCGAAAGCACAATAAAATTAATCCTTCATTCCGCAAATGCTGGTGATGCGGCCCTCCCAGATGTGCCGGAGGAGATCGGAGGAGACCGGCTCCTGCCCTGTGAAGTTCATGAGCCGTGGGCTGAGGAAGCTGGCGAATTTCCGGTGCACACATCACTCAGAGTCCTCACGATCTGCAGAGTCACTGAATGGCCTTCTAACTGTTTCCCTTGCTTTAGGCATTAGTGCATGTTTTTGAACAGTATCTTATTATTTGTAGCCAATATGGCAACTTACTAAGTGAAGACAACAATGGGCAGGGAGGAAGGCAACAGAAGAATTAGGTAGGAAAAGGACTGGTGATTTTAGGCATGTGTCCTGTGAGATTTGTCTTGCAGTAGTTACCTGGTGGTGGGAGGAGTGGGGGGGGGGTTATGGGAGCTCCCCCCAGAGGCCTGATGAAGGGGCTTCCAATCTCGGTGAGTAAGCAGCTTTTTCCAGTATACCACACTGACCTAAACATCAAACAGTTATGCTGAGATTGTTATTAGTGACCCCTATTGATTTCCAAGAAGGTAACTGGTGAAGGAAACTTAGGGTCGTATAACTGAATAACTTGACTCTGCCAGTGGCAGACTAACACAGGAGTCACCCTTCACACGGATCTAGCCCACTGTGGCTGTCGTGGGACTACAGACACTGTCTTCTTTTCACATCAGGTCACATGCCTGTGGAATCAACAACCAATTCCTCAAAACTCCAGAACAGAGAGGCTGATTGGTCAGCCTTGAGTACACGCTCGCATCCTGGCTAGGGAAGGCATAATGCCAAGGTAAGATAGGATGCCAGGACAAAGTGGGTTGCTGTCACAAAAACAACCCAAAGATATTCTCTGGGATGGTACTTTCAGAAACCTGACACCTTGTTTACTGTGGAAGCGTTAGCATCTGTCCCTCTGGGAAGTGACCCCTCTCAGCAAGACAGCTGCGGGCACAGCCATAGCTGTCATGTGACTGGACCACGCAGACCCACGTGTTCTTGTGCTGTTATGAGAAGCTCAGTGAGCAGAGCTCAAGTTTGATTAAACCTCAAATTATCGTATTGCAGAAACTTACTGTCACATCAGTAGAACCTCAGAACTGAGCAGGAACCCTGGGAGGCCCAGCAGCAGCAGAAGGCCAATGTCAATCAATGTCGTCAGCTGGGTTCCGCTGAAGACCATTAACCCGCCTTTAGTTTTAAATAGCTCAGTCAGCTTTATAAATATACAGTCATTTATGATGACTTCGGTTTGTGTCTGAATGCCATGAAAGCAAATCTCCTTTTCCTTGACACATTTGTGTGTCTGTGCGTGCATGTGTGCCAAGGGTTAAGCCCTGGTTCTTTTGTATGTTGGGCCATTCTCTAGACTCATCCCAGTTTTTATATTGTTACATTGTTAAACATGACTTATTTATTTCTTATTTTGTGTGCATTGGTACTCTGCCTGTATATATGACTGTGTGAGTGTGGGATCTCCTGGAGGTGGAGTTACAGACAGTTGTGAGCTGCCATGTGGGTGCTGGGAATTGAACCCAGGTCCTTCGGATGAACAGCCAATGTTCTTTACCACTGAGCCACCTCTCCAGCACCTCCACCCACCTAGCTAGTTAACACATTTAAAAATGAAAAGCAGGAATCTGAGGTTCTCAGCCTCACTTTTACCTGCTTATAAATGGTCGTTTCTGTGTTTTCTTGCCATTGGGCAATTCTCTAGATCCCTGGGAGGTGAGGGAACAGGTCCTCTCACCTCCTTTTAAGTCCCTACCTTGCAGGGCCTCCCCTCAGTAAATAGCAAATGCATCATTCTTTAAAGTCAGTGCTTTTTCTTTGATTCAAATGCAACTAAATGTAACTAATAGCTAATGTCATACTAGGTAGAGCACCATGGGAACCTACAGTAGTAAAAATTTAATGCTCTTTCTAACACACATACACACACACACACACACACACACACACACACACACAGAGTTTACCCATTTTCTTTTCTTGTCTCCTCAAATATTCACCACCAATAAGATCTACAGAGAGAAAACAGTGGTGAGGAGAGTCAGGTGTCTAGCAGAATCTTTTAACTGGTTTACTTACCCTACTTACCCCTCCCTGACCATTTGGAGAGAAGCCTCTGGCAGCGGAACCCTGGGATAACTTTCAGGGACCCGGGCACTGTTTCCACATCTTTCCTCCCAAACTAACTAAAACTTGTATTTACAACTACACTGGAATAACGAGAAATATAAACTAGGCCAAACTCAATATCATAATCCACTAGTAATGGATTCAGTGGTGTTGCTTTAAGTGGAATTAAAGTTAGAGCATTCCAACATAAAGTTTAAACGCCGTGGGTTTCCCACATAGGGCGTCTCAGGGCCCAACCGGAAAGCGGCCCTGTTTCGATGACTCCCCACCAGGACAAGGCCTCTTCTTTCAGAGCAAAGCTTTCTGGTTGGACTCACTCAGGAGCCCTCTCTAGAGTTTGATAAACTGACACACTGAGAACCAACGGGAAGAAATCCCCACCTACATTCTTGGCACCCGCTCCCAGCTGGGAACCACTGGTACCTTTTCTGCCTCTAAGCTGTAGGACAATTATGCCTCCCCAACACTCCATAGCTCTCCTCTTGTTTATGTAAAGACCCCAATTAGGCCAGAAATAGAATTTAGCGCCGCAAACATTGTTTAAAAAATGTTAAGACATTTAGACCAGTGCCCCCGTTCATTATTCTCCTTTGAAACCTAATATTAGTAACAGCATGTGCCGAAGACCTGGACCATGAATTAATAATGAAACACTTGTACTGGAAAATATGTGAGCACCTAGTTACTCTATTTGGCAGGCCCCTGTCGGGATGGGAGTTCGCTCTGACTTACACAGCACTTTCTATGATCATTTTACAGAATAAAACTGGAGATCAGTTATTTCCTTGGGATTTCTTGCAGGGAGCGAGACTACGGAGCATGCGTCTCCCACTCACTCTCCGCTGCCATAGAACAGACGCAGGCTCCCGGGGAATGTTCCAGCCCCAACCTTTTCTTCCCTGAAGGTTTCACTCTCCAAGAATAGTTTGCTTAGACGTGGTAATATACATAGTGTCAACTACTTATCCATCTGATTTATTCTTTAAAGATCAAGAAGTTATATCCTTGTTCCGTATCTAGCTAATAGTGGGGGACCGTTGAGAACAGGGGTCGCAGATTCAATCAGACCGGAGTGGGATCCGATTGCCGTGACCCTCAAATAATAGGTACATGTTCCTCAGCACATCGTTTGATTTTTTTTTTGAATCTTAGCACGTTCACCTGTAACGAGAGAGGTTAGCGTGGTCCTCTCTGGTCCACAAGAATGAGTGCGGATGTGGTGGAGCCACTCTCGCGGTATTGGGTAAACGGGGACACTACCATCCTACCAACACCCCACCGTCCTCCTCTTTGTACGCCTGTTCTGTGGTATAACCATTAGTGCCTGCGAATGTTTATTGTGTGAGCCAGGGAGTGTATTTGACATGGAGTCTACAAAGAAGGCCGGTTTGTTTTCCACGGCATGGTTTTTCACAAAAGCAGCTCGCACCTGACTTTCCTCTTTCTCTGGAGAATTGCTCTCTGGTGGCATCCCCGAGTACCTGATGGCCATCCTCAAGGAGGCTTCCCAACGGGATCCGCCTCTCTGATGGGATCTACTTTCTCAAGAGAACTCGGAAGACATTCTTAGCACTAGTGTTCCCAGCACCTATCATAACAATCAAGACAAATGTCAGCCTGCACAGAAGCAAGGACAGGTACAGAGGTGTCCTGACTGGGGTCTGTCTGTGGCCCTGCAGCCTTAAGGATGCTTTACTTTATTTCTTGCAACTCAGCTCACTCACTTGTCCCTTAAGACTGAACTTCCTATGGCTTCCTGCTCTTGTTGGTTTTTTTTTTTTTTTTTAAAAAAGTGCCTTTTCTGCATCTGCACAAAACAAGCAGTTTTGTCATCACTATCCTTGTCCTCTGAAACCTTAGCAAGGCTCTAGAGTTACAGATTCCATCCCTCTATGCCGAACACAGTCTCAGCCCCACACTGGGGAGGTGTGTCCAGTGGCCCACAAACCATTTAGACATTAAATATATAGGTACATATATACATGGATATATAATGTGTATTATATATATTTAAACTACAAATCACCCCCCTCCAAGTTATCCGCAACCATCCAAGCAAGATAAAAGGAAAAGCGCAAGTTAGAACCCCCCCCCCCTCTGCTGATGAAAAGCAGTCCGGGGCAAAGGAGCGCTTTTTGTTTTGGTTTGTTTTCTTAGTTATTGCATAACGGGGTGCAGCATGTAGTACAGGAACTAATTCAGCCCACGCACCTGCACAGAAAACCCACATCAACGTGCTTGCTTCGGCAGTCAGCCCGTGGAGCCAAAAGCTGAGCCTGAAAGCAAAGGTGAAATCAAATACGAAAATTGCACAGCAGCCTTGCCGGAGTCCGCTACCCAGAGGCCCCGCTGAAACCCCATCTGGCAGGTAGGGTTTCAGACACAGTTTGATGTTTTGGTCACCTGACCCAAGCTCTTCAGCCCAATTGGCCCCCAAATTCCCAGGGCAGGTAATGAGGTAACTAGAGTGTGTGGGAACCAGGGGGCGAGGCAGCTACAACTTTCCCCGTCATTCATTAGACTGTCTACTAATTCTGCTTGTTTCTTGGTTCGACGTCGGCTTATCAGGAAATTTGAACTTCTTAAAGAAACAGAATGACCTTATCTACACCTGGGACAGAATTTAGTAACATTTGTGTAAAATTAAACCATTGTAACAAAAAATAGTAATTTGGGAAATTGAATGATTTATATGTTAATTTAACAGTTAATATATTTTAACGCATTTGCATTTTGTTTTTCTGTGCCCCTTATTAAATATTATTTGTAATATCACACTACCATCCTTGGGTCACCTAAAAGTCATCAAAATAAGTGTTCTGACTTATCCCTGATTTTTCCTAATCCTTCTCTTCATCTCTCAGGGATTTTATCCAAACAAAATAAATGTGTATACTCGTGTCCTCTGTCACTATGGGAACTTTGGCCTTTAAATTGCTGACTCTGTAGCAAAGACAACCAAGAGCAGAAATTCGGCTTGTTTAACAAGAATAAACAAAACCAGTTTGGCAAACCTTGGTATAACCGAGTCTAAGGGGAGGAACCAAGAGCATGTCCTGGCTGCTGAGCCAGACTCCTGTCAGGAAAACAAGCAGATTTGGGGTTCCCGGCAAAACCAGGAGCTCCAACGCCACAGAAAAACATGAAGGAATTTTTTTTCTTAATTTCATGTAACTAATTCCTAACATGCACGACATTATCTAATGCGTCAGCACACCTTTGTGGCAACTTTGGCAATTGATAATGCAACTCTCTTTATAGTCCAGAAGTGTGCCTGAGAAGCTTCATCAACAGGTTGACAATTGCCAGGAAATATATTGGTCTACAAACTTAAGAGCAAGCTTTCTGGGTGGTTTTTTGTTTGTTTGTTTGTTTGTTTTAAAGTCAATTGATGCTATGATGTGGTGTTCTCACCATCATAGAAAGTGTTTTCCTCTCTCAAAATACATCATGTAATTATCAAACACATTTTTAGGAGATAAAAAAAAAGCCCCTAAGACTTTTCTCTTTTCCCTTGACAAAGTATATATAGGACCAAACACTTGTCAAAGATTCAGTGCCTGACACCTCCTTAAGCCAGTTGGGGACCGTATCAAACATTAATGGGGATCAGCAGGAAAACCAGTGTAAGCAGTCTGTGGAAATCACACAGACACATTCTCACATGCTATTCGGTATGGAAGAAGTGAGGCACTCTGGGAGATAGTGTTTTGTGATACTTGACTGATGAGAAAGAAATGCACCTTGGATATATTTATTTTATGAGCCCTGTATGCACATGCATGTGTACATGCAAACACACACACACACACACACACACACACACCTGACTCTTAAGCTCTCCTCAGGATACAGGTCCAGTTCAAGATAAGCGACATAAGCAATTTCAGTATGAAAAGCTTCTAAAACACAGATAAAAATGATTTAGGTCTTCCAGGTGTGCCATAACTCTTGGCAGAAAAAAAAAAAAAGTTCATTCCGAGTATGTAATCTCCTAAAGAAATCTGTTGTCAGAGCTGGATAAAGCCGTCACGTTAGAAAAATAGAAGTTTAGCTATGAACAAAGTATAAGGTGCGACTAGGAAAACTCTCTGCTTCGTGCAGAAGTTACGGCATAAAAGTAAAACTCCTTTTACTTATGTAAACACTGCTGGGTTTGGGCATCATTTCAAAAGAGGTAGCGCTGAGCATGTCGGAGCCTATAGAAATATGGCAGACTCCTGGTGGGAGGTTTGGGGTGGGGTTCTAGTCCCAAGCAGACTCTAATGCCTAGACAAAGGAAGAAAGAAGATGCACTTTATAGCTTACAGATTTTTTCTTTCTTTTTTTTTTTTTCTTAAGGCAGCAGACCAACCAAATAACTCAATCAACAACAACAAAACTGAGATGTGCCACACAGTGGAAAATGTTATAACAACTTGAATAACCAAGAGGCCCCCGAAGGAGTGGGAATATGTAGGCGAAGGGGAAGAGTCTCATATTATGGAATATTTAAACACTGTAATTCAATGCACATTTATTAATTGGCTACTTTTTAAGAGACTCTTATTTATGACAGGTTTAGGAACAATATGGCATGACAGAGCTCTCATGACGAGTCTTGCTTTCCATATGTTCAGATGAAATGAACATCACATCTAATAGCAGTCCTCCCTGCTCTTGAAGTGTCTGCCAGTGCCACATCCTTTGGGAGTTGTTACCACCAAATTAATATCCCGGGGGTCACTTAATTTAAAAAGCCACATTATAGAAGCCTTATGTGATTAGATTACTTTTTTATAAGGCAGTTGGGGTGTGTACTTTGCCTCCGTTCCAGAGAGGATGGGCGGGGCTCATGTATATAGACCTCCAACCCAGAGTCTCTGAGAAGCCAATGACAGCACAGACACATATCCCAAACTGTGACCTCCATTCCCCATCTAAACTGCCTTTACAAGATAGACCAAGGCAACTTGCCCAGTAAGAAATAGACCTGAAGGTCTGGTGGGGATTACTGCTCTGAAGGGAGGTGTTTTTCGATCCCTATCAGGCCAGTTCATCACCAAAGCCTCATAGTAAATACAGGGCCTTCAGATGCTCCAGTGGCTCTATAGGCCAATGTGGGGCTCTTATACAGAACCATACTATGTCGACGGTGCGCTATCAAAACCACACTCTATCGGTCAGAAAAGGCTGGGGTTGTGGATCTGCAACCTGTTCTTGAGTTGCCTCCTAAACAGCAGGAAGCATGTCTTGTTGTTGATTGTGGGGGGGGTGGGGGGGGAAGATTTGTTTGGAGTTCTGAAAGCATTTGGAAGCAGAACAGCCAACATTTCTTGCAGGCAATGCAGATGGTGTCAAATGCAATGGCTTCAGGCAGCAGAGGAGCATCCACGCTCATTTATGCTCTGCTATTGAGTGTCTAGGGAGATCCACTTTGGTACCTTTCAGGTGACACCCAAAGAGGCTGAAAGCTGCCCTCTAGAGGGGAAGCAAGGATCGAAAGCATTCAGGACCCACACTGTTTGAGGAGGACTATGGGTATCTCTGGTAACATTCTCAATCAAGTAAAAATGATGCTTCCCTTTTTTAGGAAAAACCTGCAATGGCTACTTTTGTTTTTTTACTGTTTTAGTCCATTGTTGTGAGGTATTATTTTAAGATGTGTTACATTTGTTGATGCTGTGAAATATTTGTTTAATGATGCAAAGATGTGTTGCATTTTTTAATGTTGCCTTTGTTTAACTCTGTGAAGCTGTGCTGCTTTGCCTGTCTAAAGCACCTGATTGGTCTAATAAAGAACAGAATGGCCAATAGTGAGGCAGGAGAAATGATGGGTGGAACTGGCAGGCAGAGAGAATAAATAGGAGGAGAAATGTGGGGAGAAGGATTGAGGAGTGAGAAAAGGAGGAGAGGAGAACTCCAGGGGCCAGCCACCCAGCTACACAGAAAGCCCATGGAGTAAGAAGTAAAGAAAGGCATACAGAAATAGAGAAAGGTAAAAGTTCAGAGGCAAAAGGTTGTTGGGATAGTGTAAGTCAAGGAAAGCTGGCTAGAGAAACTAAGGCAGGTATTCATAGGAAAGAACAAACCTCCCTGCTTTCAAAGCCCTGTTTACAGGATCAAGTGGTCAGGGTCACCAGGCTGTCTGCCCATCCTGGGTTGCTCATTACTTTATTTTGCAGGCTGATACCACCGGAAAGCATGTAAGAAGGAGAGGGACAGGGTGGATTGTGTTCTTCATATCCCATTTTGTCAGTTGCTACATTTCCAAAATGCCAGAAGTATGCAAATAATTGTTAATGGGATTCTAGTATTCCCCAAAAGCTTAGTAGTTAAAGAAACAAATTCCAGTTTCTTGCATTTGTATTGTGAAGCTGATAACAAGTGGGGACAATTTCTGAGTAAGGCTGGCTAGACACCGGAATGCCCCTTAACAGCTACTGGCTTTTCCACTCTCCCTGTTAGCAAGACCATGACGCCATCTCAGCCGTGAGACCGCAAGGCTAATGAGAAGGACTGTGCTTAGGGACCTGAGAATGGGAAGCATGGTGACTGGCAGGGGAGGTACGGGTGACCCTGGAGATGATGACAGCAAGGGTAGGGGAAAGAGGTGAAAATTCCACGTTTCAGAATTCTCACCTGGGATCTGTTATTTGAGAATTCTAATGCTTCCTCACATCATCACTGGGGAGATGATGAGACTTCATGACTGTGAAGTTGACTGTAAAATGAAACGATTTTGAGCATATTTACTGACATTTCTGAAAGATACCAGAGCACTGACCTCCGCCGCGTGCACTTGGGTGTTACCTTCCCGTTTTTCAAAGTGAATTATGTCCCCCGGGTGGTGATCACCGGCACTTCAAGGTGTGATCACCGGCACATGCAGTGTTTGGTCTGTCCTGTCCAGCCAAGCACGTAGTTACTTCCAAAGAGGAAAACAAACATTTTCTTCAATATCAGTGCTCATAACATTTTATTTTTGATTCTCTCGCTTGGCCTTAAGTGGTTGCTAAGAGATAGAAGGACAGACACAAAGAAAATAGGTGTGAATAAACACAGTGAACACTAAAACTAGCCTGTCAACGAGACTGCACTTTACCAAGAATGAAGGTTGAGCATCCCAACATCAGTAGCCACTCTGTGGCACATCAGCTGCCCCCCCACGCGCCCCCAAACTTTACCTTAACAGAAGTATGTGTGGCCCCCTAGCCACGGGTCCCCCAGCACTCTAAAAGCAAAGCCGAAACATATAATTCTCTTTGCAGCTTTCCGTGATTCTATCTAGTGAGCTGACTACAAAGAATGTTGGGAACTATGTCCCGCTGAGGGAGCGGAAATGGCCAACCGAGTTGTAATTGGACAGCCGTTTGAGGGAGAAGCTCTAGGCCAGAAACAGGTGCAGGGAATCTCCTTGGGCCTGCTCCTAGCATGGCATTCTTGTGCACCTTGCTTAAGTTCGCACATACGCCAAACAAGGCAAGAGCAAGGAAAGCAAGACTGTACCGAGCGCAAGGATGGCCGCTTTCAGGACAGTTAGCGGTTTTCAGACAAGCTTGCAGAGCCGATTGGACAGTTACCCTGCAAGGCAGAAACTGTAGACTACATTTTGCCCACTCAACACCATATACTAGGATTCCAAACCCTTCAGAACTTCCGTATACACACACACACACATACACACACACAATGTCCCTTTGCCTGTTAGGTCTCTTACCCTTTAAGGGCTCATCCAGCTCTGTAGCTGGGTCCTAGAGAGTCTGGATTCGGCCAAGGTTTGCTGTTCTCCTTGACTCCCCCTGCTGGTGGGTTTAACCCAAACTCAAAACAGCAACCGTTGGGAAAACATTTTTCAAGTTATCTCTGAAGGGTACGAGAACTCTGAAAGAACTCAGCGCATGCACGAGACTGTCATGTACTGCGATATAAGTGATCCGGGAGCCTAATAGCATTGTGTAAACTAGCCTTGGGATCGGATTCATAGAATACCAAATAGATTAAGTTGCTTTTAAAAGCTCCCCGTATTCTTTTGGTTGCCGCACTCTTCTTTTTTGTGGCTTGCGATATTTTCCTTTGTCCCCAAGCTCTAGACACCTACTTAATAAGCACCAATAAAGATCGTACATTAGCCTTAAACAGTGGTAGCGTTCCTCACCTGCTAATTGCTTCATTTGCAGTTACTATTTCCGTCCTCTCATCAGCAGGAGCTTTGGCAGCAAGGGCAGTGAAGTAGAGCTCGCCTAGGCGAGCCGAAGCCAGCCCACTGAATGCTGCCGTAATTACAAAGTAGCCTGGAGTAGCTCTTCCTCAAATCAAATTATGAGCCTGGATTACCTAAAACTCTCGGGGCATAGTCCTGGCTTTCATTTGCCTGGCTCGAGGTTGCTGTCGGCAAGCAGGTTTTTCTTCTCCTTATTCTTTCCAAGGATTATCAAGGTCGCACTTCCGATGCAGGAGCCCCGAGTGATAGACACGATGCTGGGAAAAGCGCTGTTTTCTCACAAGGCTTGCTTCCCCCAGCTGCTTTATCGCTTATTTTTTTTTAAATTATAAAGAAGCAAAACATAAGAAACTCTTTTCTTCGTGTTTCATATTTTCTATCATTTGCATACCCGAGTTATGTCCAGCTGAGTTTACTCACGATTCTTGGGCAAATATTTGCTCCTTGTCAATATTCCAACCACCCATACACCAGTTAGAACAAGAGTCAATAGGCCTCAACAATATTTGGATCTTGTTTGAACACCTGACTGTCCGCTGGGAAGTGTGCACTGCACTAGAATTAGCAGGAGTTAGAGATTGTCTTAGGTCAGGCCACCTGGAGCAGTGGCTCCCTAAGCTGTGTGGCCCTGTAATGCTCCTTCAAACCCTTGCTTTCTCCACCTGACAGCCCAGGACATCGGGCTTAGTCATCCCAAAGGTGTTCTCCTTGCCAGTTTCATAATACTCCATCAAACACAGTACCTATGCATTTGTTACAGCAGTTTTTGGACTACATCGAAAGGAGTAGGATCCTTTGCAAAAGGAGGTAGCCGTCTGCTTCTCAAATGGTTGAAACTTCTACTAAACCAAGATTTGGTGTGTCTGAGATGGACCTAAGAAACAAGCCAACAGCTTAGACCATTGCTAACTCCTAAAAAGAGAGTCCTGGGGTTCAAGTTCCAATTCTGGCAGGTTTCCGTGGGGTGCTGGGTTATGATCTAGAATGTCTGAAGCTGTTTTTCAAACTTAGAAATGACAATTCAAACAGGAGAAAAGGCAAGCAACCACACTCCAAACGCTGCAGTCCCGCAAGAAAACGAACATTGGTTCAAGTACTGAAAATGTAAAATAACTTTCTGTTATATTACAAAAGTTTAAATGGACATAGGGATAGCAAATGCAAGATTCTAGTTATTAAGGATCTAAAAGGAAATTTCAGATATGGTCACTTATTACTGTAGTATATTACAAGCCAATTTATTAAGTAGCACTTCAACAGATCTAATAATAGTGATAATAAATATAATAATTTAATGTTGTGGTCAAATAGCATAATCTGGGAAGTAATTTTAAACTAAACTTAAAATATTAGTCCTATTTTCATTTTCAAAAACCCTGAGCTCATACTTAATCCTTTTAAAATCACTCATTAGAAATTAGGAAATGAATTGAATATTAGAATTAGTTCTGCTTGAGAACTAAAGGACACCATTAATAATGCAAATTTAATTGTTTTTAACATTGTTTTTCTTTATTTAAATCATGCATAAGAGTTAGTACCTTCTAAGTACTTGTGTATTCATGGAAACTCAGCCTCCACACAGACAAGAAGACGGTGCTCAGGGTGTGACATGGTGATGTCGCCAGTAAGGATGTGGTCCTTTCTGCTGGCCGTGGTCATCCTTCGTGAAGCTAACGGAGATGGATGGGTAATAAAACACCTTTCGGAAAGGCACCAAGTGAGCACTCCTGCTTCCGCTCGCACCTTCTGCACCCAGGTACGGTAACAGGAATTTGCTTTTGGGTCTTTAAGTCAAATATGAAATCCTGGCCCCAGGATTTCCTCATAACATCTGTAGAACTTTACAACCTACTTTACAGACTGGAAAAGTTCCAGAAAACATCACATTTAGCCCACTAGGGTTTTACTCATAACCAATGTGTTTCTCCTTTAATTGTGGTTGAAGCAGGAAGTTTTGCCAGCAGAATTATATATCACTTGTGCTCGTCCAGCTCAAAGGCCCTCCCTTCAGTCTCATTGGATGCGAGTCCAACTGCTGCTGTCATAAATAGATGCACATGGATGTGCACACACTAACTTGTGACTGGTGGGCAGTACGTATTACGTAGATGGGTAACTCTATGGTTATGATTACTGACATCCATGTCCATACACAGAGACGACGTGGAAAGGGAAGCATCGCTGGACTCTCAGCCTTTCCTGCATTTGAAGACCAACCTTTCGATGCCTCCATTTCCAACCAGCAATGTACTCTCAGAAGGTTCTCCTAGTAGTTCAGTGACATTGTCTCGTGTGGAATCGTGATTACACAGACGAGATGTGAAGCACACTCGGGCACTGTTGGGATCTACCTTGCTTACCAAGATGCATGCAGCTGCCAACCTCACTCATACCATGTCCCATTCCTCAAACAGTCACTTCAGTGAATATAAATTGTTAATGAGATTAGCATAATACCTATCACATTTGAAATTGTGGGCAATTAGATACTACCATTTAAATAGATATTTCCCATGAGATTTTCTTTTGCTAAAGATCTTCCTTGGCAATGAAGTCTTCAAAATGTAAAATTATTCTCTCTCTCTCTCTCTCTCTCTCTCTCTCTCTCTCTCTCTGTCTATCTGTGTGTGTCTGTGTGTGTGTGAACAGATTGTCAGATTCCATCTTTTTGGTATGACATTTGCCACCATTCTAGTCGCGGTGGGTTCATACATCCCAAGGCAGGAGCTTGAGGGTTAGACAACATTAAGCAGGAAGACAGAGATAAGGAAGAATCACAGAGACACGGGATAGTAACGGAAAGGCGACTCAGTGAACAAGGAATAATACTGCAAGTAGCCCTCGTTTCTTGGCATGCATGTGTACTTGCACACATAGTAACACATATATGTTGTAGAGACCCCAAAATGTAAGCCTATTCCACCTTATCTGAAGGTCAGAGAGTTTGAGTTTATTTTACTTTCTCCAACTTGTTGATGACAAGTGTGGCTACACACCCTGACTTGAGGTGTGGCTGCTTGGTTGAATTCTTCGTCTGACTTCTGAGTTTATCCAAATTCATTTTTCAGACACTCTTATACTCCAATAGAAAAGTGGGAAGAAGGCAAAAGACTGCTTTAACATGACCCAAAGGACAACCCAAACAGTCACTTGCACCAAGACTTGAGACATCAAGCCGTTAATTCTTGAGAAAAGTATTTGATGCTTAGGGCAGTGAGCACACCCTAGACCAAGTACCCTGCAGGCAGCCACTCCCTAAGTCAAACCCATTTCAAAGGATGGAGCAGAAGTATGCTTGAATCCTCTGATCTTTGGTCAGAGTGGAGAGGATACACCTCTATAGACTATCTTAATTCCCAAAACACCAAGCAACCACACCTCAAGTCAGGGTGTGTAGCCACACTTGTCATCAACGAGTTGGAGAAAGTAAAATAAACTCAAACTCTCTGACCTTCAGATAAGGTGGAATAGGCTCACATTTTGGGATCTCTACAACATATATGTGTTACTATGTGTGCAAGTACACATGCATGCCAAGAAATGAGGGCTACTTCCAGTATTATTCCTTGGCCATCATTCAATTATCATCATCATCATCATCATCATCATCATTATCATCATTACCATCACCATCACCACCACCACCATCATCATCATCATCATCACCACCACCACCACCACCTTCACCACCACCACCACCATCATCATCATCACCACCATCACCATCACCACTACCACCATCACCACCACCACCACCATCATCATCACCACCACCATCACCATCATCACCATCACCACCATCATCACCATCATCATCATCACCACCACCACCATCATCATCACCACCATCATCATCACCACCATTATCATCACCACCACCATCATCATCATCACCACCATCATCATCACTGCCACCATCATCATCACCACCACCACCACCACCATTATCACCATTATTAATTTGGAGTGTGTCTTTCCTGTATCTGGAATTGTCTAACTAGTCTAGGTGGAGACCTGTCTTCTCAGCACTGGGATCACAAGTGTGCGCCATCATGTGTGACTTTATCTCAAGGGTTCTGGGGCTCAAAGTCAGCTCTTTATGCTTAAAAGACAATCCCTATACCAACTATCCCCCATCCAAAATGTCAAGTCTTATATACCTTCATCATTTTCCACTAAAGTAGACTCTCCTTATTGCTATTATTCCCCACATGAATACATGCCAGCCTCTCTCCAAAGGAACCTTCTTTGATAATGGGAACATTTTTTATCTACACTGTCCAGTAGACTGATCACCAACTACCTGTTGTTTATAAGCATTCAAAATATTGCATCTTGACTAAACAATTGAATAATTATATTTAATTTTACTTAACATAGTTGCTGTGACTTGTAATTGCACCCACACTTGAACTTTGAAAATAAAGCATCTCTCAAATAGTGCAAGGGGAAGAGAATCCTTGGGAAGCTCCCAAGGAGCCATAAAAGTGTCTCCAGCCAGCTGTGGTCATTGGAATTTCATCACGGTCCAGGAAATTTCTTGTTTACTCTTTCTCAAAAGGCAACCCCCATGAGCCAGTGTGCCCATCACCTTGCATTGGTGACTATTAAAGTGTTCTTCTGAGACCCAAGGGGTCTCTTCATATTGAAAATCCTTCACCGTTGTATTTTTAAAGAGAAGTGGAAGAAACTATCACATGGTGTGGCTATAAAAGTGCCTGTCCTCTAAGGACTTCAGTTATTCCATCTTGAGAGTCAGGAAGACATAAGCTTGGAGCCCCTCTGAGGAGAACATGAGCCCGGGTTCCTGTGAGAAACATTTGAGAAGAGGCTGAAGTAGCAGTGTTTCCAACTAGAACCTGACTTCAGTGGAACCTGGTCCAAGACTATTAGCAGCGTACTCCTTCCCAGGTTCATCTTGGAGGTGAAGATCACTACTAATTATAAAATCTTCACTTTGATGTTTCAAAGATTTTGGTCAAGTGCCTCATTATCAGTTCCTGCCTTTCTTGACAACACTAGCTCTATGAGAGCAATGCATCATGATTGTAATGCAAGACGATGGACGGCCATACGTATACCTGACCACCAGAACTCACATGCACATAAACTGAGGGGAGAGGAACTACATGGGTGACAAAAATCAGCTTTGCCCAACTCGGGGTTAGTAGATCTCCCAAAGGAAAAGAATATCAATAGTAAGTTTCCTAATTTTTTTTCAGACAGCGAGGAACTGCAACAACACAACACACAGTCCTGGTGTCGGGGGACCCACTCTGAACCACTTGGTGATGAAACTTAGGATTGTGTCTATTCACTTGACTTTTTGAACCTTTGTTTCTATAATTCATAAATAATACTAGTTAATTTTGGAATTGTAAGGATTAGTTACAGTGTGTAGACATAATAACCACCACAGAGTTGATAGCCAAGATTTATTTTCTTCACCACTCAGACATTATAAAATATTATAATCGTTCCACTTACTTTACTCAACTCAGACTTTCAAAACCTATTGTTTTACTGAGATTTCAAAAATGTGAGTCTAATTTTCCAAAAATCGTGTACTAAGCCAAGATATCAATGTCAGAATACTTTGATTAAAATGTAGGCTCTAAGTCAGAACTGGTCACATAGGCCTGTAATTTCCACTAATCAGAGAGGCCAAACTAGGGGGTTTAAAAACCCAAGGCGCGTCTAAAAATCAATGAGCCTCAACGGGGTTGGAAATATGGCTCAGTGGTAAAATATGGCTCAGTTACTCGGCATGTACACAGGGTCTGGGTTCAATCGCCAGGGTCACCAAAAGAAAAAAAAATAACAGACCAGTCATGAGGCAGACCAGAGACCATTGCCTGGTCTTACCATTTCTTCACTGAATCCTGGCTTTCTTAGTAGACTTTCTCCTAAATGAGCCCCTTTCCCTCTACTGCCTTCTCCTGAACTACAGATAAGAAACAAGATCCATTTGGGGAGCTTTGGAGAACTCCTCTAGGTCATAAGGACACTCAAAGGTGGAGCTCTGTTTCCTGTGTCTTCTTCCAGCATGTCTCCTGGCTCTTGCACCCTGACTGTCGGAGAATTCTGCAGAAACTAACTTTCACGTCAGCCTCAACACTGCAGAAGGAGATAAACACAGAGTGGGAAGGACTGAAAGGGAACCCTGCTGGCCACTCAGTCTGTAATGCTGGGACTTTGTTGTCATTATGTTTTCAGCCAGTCCCCAGAGGGGTTATGTCTTGGGTCTCATACACTTCCCTCCACAAACCAAATCTAGAATTTAAAAAAAAATTGTTCATTTCTCAATTTAAAACTGTAATTTACCAACATATATGTAAATATATTTACACATATACATATATATGCAAATCACAGTTTTAAATATGTGTATATATACACATTTTTTATTTATATATCATATATATATATATATATATATGTCTATTTATTTATTTTTTCAGTCTTTTTGCTTAGGAAGTACCCCAGCCCAGGATGAACATAAAACCATCCTGTTACATCAGGAGACTTGGCACACCTGTGAAATGATTGACAGCATCAGCATTTGTCATCTCTTTCATGCCACATACCTGCTCAGTGCTTCACCAGTCTCCTGTTCTACTTCCATTCTATTCTTGCGTTCTCTTAAACTACCATCTGGAAGGTATGGAAGCCCTGCTATTTGGCTCAGTGGACAAGGGGCTGTCAAGAGACGCTTAAACAGGCTTTTCAATGGCTTGATTACTACAACAGTGTGTGAATGGACGGAGAAAAGGGCCAATGCTGCACAACCTTCTCCATTTGCCCCCATGACAAGCTAAGGTTGCCCAAGTGGGTTTGCTCTGCCTCTGCCCCTTGAACGAAACAACAGGGGTAGGTGAGAAGGGAGTCTGGGGACAGCCGCTCCTGCACACACGATGGACAGGACACTTTGCATGGGGTCTGGTTTCTCCTTTGCCTAATTGCTGCAAAGCATTTTCTGAGGCAAGGCTGTTATTTTCTGCTAATTATTGTTCACTTTAAGAAGAAATTTGTACTTCCCAAGCCCCAAAATAAAAGTGAAATTAGCAACAATACACTTTTCTCCTAAACTTCATACCTCTTAATTTGGACTTAATTTGGACTTAATCTCTTAATTTGGACTTAATTTGGACTTAATCTTAATCAGTAAACTTAATCAATTCCTTGGCACCTGAAAGCTTATTTATCCAACTCTTCAGGCAGTGTGTGTTTCTATCTACATGTGGACTTCGTGTCCTGAAACTAAAACAGTGAAAAAGTAAGTCAAATATTTTAAGTCTGTAAATGGACAGATTTCACATAGAATGAATGTTAGTACGTCCAAAGTAAGAATCTCAAGAGTCAAAATATTTTGGAAAAGAAATTCTCTTTTAGACTTATTATTTTGACAAAACAGAGGGAAAGCACATGAAAAGCAAGAGACAGATTATACAGTGAGTCCTCACTGAATATACTAATCCAGGCCTTTGCTTCCATTTTCATATACAAGCCATGGTGCTAGGGACTGTCTGTACTCAGGTGAGATGACACCGGAGCTCTGCCGCCTGCGGGAAGCCTGTCCTATATGACACCTCTTCCTTACTAATAGTGAATTAATTGAACACTGTCTTTCAGTGCCCCCTTTTCATTGACTCCTTGCAACTGTTCTGTGGTTAATGAAGAGGAGACAGAGCAGGGTAAGGGGCTGATGGAGGGGTATAACCCAATCCTCCACAAACCTTAATCCAATGTGTGGGAAGGGCTAGCCAGATGGCACCCACGTCCTTCCTTCAGTGTTAGAATTCTCACCATACGATGGTCTACTATGGGCATTTCTCTCAATCCGTTCCTGAAGACT